CCTGGCTGGCGCTGCGGCTGAGGGGGTTTCGCTTGGCTTTTATCCCCTTCCGAGTTCCCCGAGTTACTGAGGGAAGGGGTTGGAAGGAATTTTGGTGTTTAGCTCTTGGACATGCACAACGGGGGGGCTGGGCTGATGGTGCCTAATGTTTTGCGAACTATTGTGTAGTCTGACGGGGGCGGGGGGCGGAACACACGGGACAGGACTAGGAGGTGCCTTAAAGAACTGGTGAAGACCTGCCCCACAGTTTGGATGGAAGCCGGGAAACAACTGAGTCTGCGCAAGAACAAAAGGTCAGCCAGCGGTGAGGAAGAGGAGTCACCTATCTTCATCCCCACGACCCCCGAGGACCACCACCAGGAGGCCCTGCGCAAGCGCCGTCGGGAGGAGTCTGTGGAAACGACCCCCTGGCACTAATTTTACCACGAAGCGGGGATCAAGTGGGGATCGGTTATGCATATGCAGCTGGTAAATCGTGCTGAGACGTCTGGCATGCAGCATAGTCCCCGTGGGGAGAGGGTACCCTGGTGAGGAGGGGGTTTGCTGACTGACAGAGCGGCCACCTGCGATCTTGGGGGTAGATGGAGCAAACCCGAGGTCACCGCTGCATCCCAGTGTTGGGAGCCAGGACAGACCTGCGAATGACTGGTTTATCAGAAGCAGGAGAAGGGTAAGCGGACCTCTGCGCAATTGCATTCAGGATATTTTGTGGATATTGGGTGGATGTTAACTGGAGTGGTAATATCTGAGAGGTGTATGTGAAGTCTCTTGTTCTTTGTGTGTAATGTTTAAAATGGTTGTGGGGATTTTGCTTGTTTAATTTTTGCCAGAGGATATTGGTTGTGACTCTTGTCTAAGGAAGTTGGATTTGTCCGTGCCTTAGATGAGTAGGTGGACTCCATTATCTGGCAACATTTGTTTGGTATTTTGTGCGTTTGGGAGCTTTATTTAATATTTTTGGTTTTAGGTGTATGTGTAAGATCGTGAATGTCTTCATATGTTGGTGAGCATATTGGGCAAAAGAAATCACTCCTTAGGCGGTTTGGGCTCAAACCTTGGGAGTGTTTGAACGAAGGGGGACATTGGATAAAAAGGGGAAATGATCTAGCAGGCGAAGAGCAGAGTACCCTAAGTGCCTTCCCCAAACCCCACCGTTTTATAATTGGGAAAGGGCTCAACAAGAATCTGAAGTACTAAAATTGGTGTGTGGAAAGGAAAATTTGATCCTGGAAATTTGGGACGTGTGGGAGAAGGGTTGGGAGAAAACTGTAACAAATTGTAGGAAACAATTCCCGTGGAAATGTACTAAAAGAATAGCAAAAGCCAAACTAAAAGAACAATAGAAAAAGTCACGAAATGGGTAATACTCAAGGAGGAATTTTGGAGAAGAGTCCCTTGGGCTGTGTACTTGCTGACTGGAAGGACATTGTTGGGACCGGAGGCATAGAAAGTAAAAGGACCCTTATCAAATATTGTAATCAATGGTGGCCTCTATATAAATTGGAAGATGGGGCCAAGTGGCCATTAAATGGGTCAATAGATTATAATACTCTCTTACAACTAATGCTGTTTTTGAGGAGAGAAGGAAAGTGGGATGAGGTCTCATATGCAGACATGTTTTTCACCCTCCAAAATCATCTGGAGTGGCAAAGGGATTGTGGACTGGTACCACAGGACCCCATGGTGTTCGCACTTGACCGAGAAAAGAACAAAGAACTTAAAGGTAAACTGAAGCGGTGCTGTTTGGCATGTAGCATTGAGCAAAGATGTATTAAACCTAATAAAATCCACCAGGCGCCAGAACAAGATCTAACTGATTTGTTTAAGCCTCCCCCTCGACCACAGGAACAGGATGCGAACTCGGATGAAATCCCCAGTCCTCCGGACAGCCCTGTATCTTCCCGGATTAAGAAGAAATCTGCCTCAACGGCCTTACAAGCACCTCTCCAAGAGGCGGTAGGACCTCGTGGAATTATGCTATTCAAAATACTTTTTTCCAGTACCGATTTAGATGCTTGGAAAAAGGTAGCCCGGGAATATCGGGTCGACCCAGTACGTGTCACTAAACACTTCAAATTCATAATAAAACAACATAATCCAGATTGGAATGATATACAACTACTATTAGAACATATGTCCGAAACAGCCAATTTTGAAAACTGCGGGTGATTTGGCTGAAGACCACTGTAAAACTGTGGGGGGTGAGGTTAAGGATTATTTCCCCCTCCAAGACCCGAAGTGGGGTGCTAACAGGCCTGCTCACATGGAAAGGTTGCAGGCATACCAAGAGTGGATTTCAAAAGGAATGGAAAGGGCCATTCCCAAAACTATAAATTGGTATGCAGTTAAACAGGGTCCTTCCGAGTCCCCATCCGAATTCCTGGATCGATTGAGGGATGTAATGCGCCGTTACACATCGCTGGACCCTTGGTCAGAGGTAGGAATACAACAACGAGTCTCCCTATTTTTGACTCAGTCTACGGGAGACACTAGGCGCAAACTCCAGAAGTTGCGTCCTACAGAAAGTGGAAACTTGGAAGTCTTGCTGGACAAAGCATGGAGCGTGTTTAGCAATAGAGAGGAGAGATACAGGCAAGGGCAGAGGGGAAGGGTGGTGGTTGTCAGGGAAGAGGAAAAAAGAAGGCCTAGACAGGAATCATCCTGGTTGGGTAAAGACCAGTGTGCACTATGTAAGAGATTTGGTCATTGGAAAAGGGAATGTCCAAAAAATAAGGAGAAAGGACAAGGCTGCCAGATAGAATAAACAATAGCCCATGTAAAGGAAGATTGACGGGGACCTGGGGAATCCACCCTAGCAGATCCACTGGTTATAATGAAGCTAGGGAGGGAACAATAAGAGGTAGAATTTTTGGTTGACACGAGGGCAACATACTCTGTTTTGAATCAAGCCTTGATGCCTCTGGGGAACGACTATATCATGGTAAAAGGGGCGACTGGCCAAAGTGAAAAGGCATACTTTTGTAAACCTTTGAAGTATATAAATTAGGAAAACAATGGGGTATCCACAAATTCTTGTATATGCCCAACTCCCCAGAGGCACTTCTGGGAAGAGATTTGTTGGAACAATTGGGTGCAAAAATTACATTTGAAAAAGGAGAAATTACTCTGGAGGTGAAGGATCGACAATATATCCAGGTACTGAGTCTATTTCTAACCAGTTCCCCCACAGAAGGAAAAACTCCCGAGGAGGTCCTAAACTGGGTATACCCTCGGGTGTGGGCCACTGATGTGCCTGGAAGAGCAAAGAATGCTCCACCCATTGAATTTAGACTCAAAGAAGGCTGGCAACTGGTAAGGGTTAAGCAATATCCGCTAAAACAGGAAGATAAAGAAGGAATCTGGCCAGTGATAGAAAAATTTTCACAATTAGGATTATTGAAAGAGTGCAAGTCGGATTTTAACACCCCTGTACTACCTGTCCGTAAACCTGACGTGTCGTACCGCGTGGTCCAGGACTTTTGAGCTGTAAACAAAATAACAGAGGACCTCTACCCGGTAGTAGCAAACCCATATACTTTGTTGACCGTATTGGCTCCCAAACTAACCTGGTTTACTGTTTTAGATCTGAAAGATGCCTTCTTTTGCCTCCCTCTCCATGAAGCCAGTCAGAAATTACTTGCATTTGAATGGGAAAACCCCAAAAGTGGTCGAAAAACTCAGCTCACTTGGACGGTGCTGCCACAAGGATTTAAGAACAGTCCTACCATCTTCGGCAATAAACTCGCAAAAGACTTGGAATCCTGGGAAATCCCGTCTGAAGAAGGGAGATTATTACAGTATGTGGATGACATTCTGACTGCCACCAAAACAGAGGACGGTTGTGTGACCTGGACGGTGAGTCTACTATAATTTTTCGGGGCTCCAAGGGTACCAGGTATCTAAGAAGAAGGCCCAAATAATGCAGCGCGAGGTGATTTACTTGGGCTATGAAATTAGTGCCGGACAAAGAACTTTGGGACAGGCCTGTAAAGAGGCAATATGCCAAACTCAAGAGACCTCAGACAGTGAAAGAGTTATGGACTTTCTTGGGAATGACCGGGTGGTGCTGACTGTGGATTTATAATTATGGACTACTTGTTAAACCACTATATGCACTAACAGCTACTGGACAAAAACACCTTAAATGGAACAAGGAGACCATGCAAGCCTTTGAGCTACTGAAAAAGGCTCTGATGTCAACCCCCACCTTAGCGCTCCCAGGTGTGAGTAAGCCGTTTTTGCTTTTCTCTCACGAGAAGCAGGGGATTGCTCTGGGGATACTAGCACAAGATCTGGGTCCATATCGACGAGCAGTTGCCTATTTCTGCAAACAATTGGATGCAACTGCAAAGGGTTGGCCTGGATCCCTGCGAGCGGTTGCAGCTGTAATATTAAACGTACAGGAAGCCCGAAAATTTACCTTGGGCCAGAAAATGACTGTCTTGGTGTCCCATATGGTATCCACAGTATTGGAGGCAAAAGGAGGACACTGGCTTTCTCCACAAAGATTCCTGAGATATCAGGCCATACTAGTAGAACAGGATGATGTGGAGATCATAGTTACTAACATTGTCAATCCAGCTTCCTTTCTCAGTGGAAACACTGGAGAACTGGTGCATCAAGACTGCTTGGAGACCATTGAAGCAACCTATGCGAGTCGCCCGGATCTGAGAGACAGCCCTATGGAAAATGGGGAAAACTGGTTCACAGATGGAAGCAGCTGTGTCCTGAGTGGTAAGAGACATGCGGGGTACGCTATTACCACCAGTCAAGAAATCATAGAGTCAGGACCTTTGCCCATAAACACCTCTGCACAGAAGGCAGAAATAATTGCTTTAACCCGTGCCTTGGAATTGGCCCAAGGCAAAGTTGTGAATATATACACAGACTCGAAGTCTGCCTTCAGAGTTGTGCATGCACATGGAGCAATCTGGAAGGAAAGAGGATTATTGAACTCTCAAGGGAAAAACATCAAACATGCAGACGAAATTTTGAAACTGCTGGAGACAGTTCAGCTCCCTGAGAATGTGGCAGTCATGCATATTAAGGTGCACCAGAAAGTGAGCTCAGAATTGGTAAAAGGAAACGAGCTGTCGGACAGAGAGGTAAAACAAGTAGCCAAAACAGAGGTAAAAACTGAAGGGACCTTGGTCCCTGACAGATGAATCCCCCTAGAAGGTAAGCCAGAATATACCAAGGAAAACCAGAAGCTTATCACAGATCTAGAAGGGTCATATAATGAGGAAGGGTGGGCTCAAACCCCACAGGGAAAACTAATCATTCCCTCCTGTCTGTTATGGCATTTGGTAAGGCAAGAACATAGGAAAAGGCATTGGGGGACAGAGTCTCTGTACAAGCATTTAATTAGAGAAATTGTGGCCAGAAATTTATACAGCACAATGAGACAGGTGACTCAGCAGTGTGATCTTTGCCTCCAGACTAATCCGAAAAATAATGCTAAACCAGAAATGGGTCAGACTGGAAAAGGTAACGGGCCTGGACAACAATGGCAAATTGATTTCACGGAACTCCCAAGAAAATGGGGGTACCGATATTTATTGGTATTAACCGATACCTTTTCGGGTTGGCTGGAAGCATTCCCGACCAGGACGGCTAAAGCTCGAGAGGTGAATAAAATGTTAATAAAAGAGCTAATACCATGTTTTGGGGTTCCAGCAACCATGTCTTCGGACAGGGGGCTGCACTTATGCGGGGTCATGTTATGGTCCCCCTTTTCCTAAAGGGACAGGAGGGTGCAGCTTTGACTTTTGGGACTGTAACCTCCCTGACGGACATTGGTACCTCTGTGGAAATGGGAAAGCATATAAAAGCTTACCTGCTGATTGGTGGGGAGAATGCACAGAGGGGATACTGGTTCCGCAAATGTTTTCTGTAACAGGAAAATTACAAGGAATATTCTGATCCCCATGGTACCACATGAGAACTAAAAGAACCTCCAACCCTCTTATAGAAAGGGGTACCAAATTTCATAGCCTGGTACGATGGCTTTTTCCAATGATGGGAGTATCAGAGTTGGAAAAGGCAATAGTTAATGTATCAGCAGTAGTCGAGAATTTGGCCAATACTACTGCTGATGCCTTAGGAAAATTGCAAGCTGAGGTTGATTCTCTGGCTAAAATGACGATACAAAATCGCCTTGCAGTGGACATGCTAACTGCTAAAGAAGGAGGAGTGTGTATACTCATAAACCAAAGTTGCTGTAGTTACTTAGATGGAAGACAACAAGTGGAAAAAGACATAGGAAAGATTTGGGAGCTCTCCAAGGAATTGCATCTTATTGCAGTGGACGATACCTCATGGGGATTTACCGAGTTATGGGAAAAATTAACTTCATGGTTACCAAACTTAGCATGGTTAAAACAATTGTTTGTCACGGTGTTGATAATCATCCTGTTATCTATAGTCCTTTGTGTAACTGTGCGATGTGGTTTATGGTGTTTCAAGAGCACTGAAGACTCCTACAGTGAATGGAAAAGGAACCAATTACGGCGAAGGCTTGAGTCCAATAAGTATTTTGAGAAAATGTTGAATGACAATGTACTGTAATAACATCAAGTGTAGTAAAAGAATTTACTAACTTTCTAGAAAAGGGGGGACTGAAGGAAGGGTTTGAAAGGAATTTTGGTGTGCCATTGAGCCCTCTCAGTTCAGCTCTTTGACGTGCACAGCGGGGGGGCTGATGATGCCTCATGTTTTGCGAACTGTTGTGTAGTCTGACGGGGGCTAGGAGGTGCCTTAAAGAACCGGTTAAGACCGGCCCCACAATTTGGATGGAAGCCAGCAAACAACTGAGCGCACAAGAACAAAAGGTCAACTAGCGGTGATGAAGAGGAGTCACCCCTCTTCATCCCCGCGACCCCCGACGACCACCACCAGGTGGCACTGCGCAAGCGCCATCGGGAGGAGTCTGTGGAAATGACACCTTGGAACTCATTTTAATATGAAGCGGGGATCAGTTATGCATATGTATAGGCGTATTGGGAAATCTGATGCATATGTAATACTTGATTGTGTAAGTTGAAGAGACCAATTGCTGCTCGGCGCTCACAACTTTGGTGGGGCTACCCCAGTGCTGCCCGGTGCTGAATAAACATACCTACTTTACAATCCGACAGATTGTGGAGTCTGCTTTCCGCACGTCATTACCTAATTCATTGTATTAAACTGCATTTTCTGTCGTAATTTGTTAGTGTTTGGTGTGTGCTGCGGACAACAAGGTTTGCTGAGCGCCGCTGGGTTGCGAGGGAGAAGAAACGCGTCCCGGTTTCTGCTGCTCAACACCATCCCCAGTTTCATGGCCACAGGCTCATTTCCTGTCTGCTCGCTTTCCCCTGAGCTCCAGGTTAAGGAATTTTAACCCGAAATCCCACGATTTTTGTAGTTTATTTGCTCGCCTCTGCACATGAGCTGTTTATTTCATCCCTTTTTTTGAAATGGTGGAAGCTGAATATAACACCTCGGCCGGAGACACTTACCAATTCGTTATTTTTCAGTATTGTTTTGTATGCTGGATGTTTTCTGGCCTTTTCCTTATTCTTTCTCAGCATTCTGCACCAAAAATAACCCCAGTAATTATTTTTTCTTAGTCTGGTTGAAGGAAAGAAAATGCTTGTGTTCATCTCTCCATCAAATCCTCCTGTTAATTTTTAATAATCTAGTTCAGACACATTGGACAGCAGAGTGGAAAGCCTCAGAGATAACTGATTTCTGCGAACTTTGTGAAAACAGGTGTCTGGGTGGGGAAGGACAAGATACCTGCGTGGGTTCCCTTTGGGAGGGAAAGACAGGAGGGTTTGGCTCTCATCCTTCCGCCTGGCGTATGCTGCGAGGAAAAGCCAGAGGGGAAATGGCGGGGACTCCCACGGTGTCTTCTGGACCTGGCAGAAATGTAGGTTTGTTGGAGCTGAAGGGCAGGGAGGAACAGGGGACACAGGACAGCAATTCACAGGAAATCTGATTTTATTAATTCCTCTGTTCATGAAAAAAATACTTTTTGTTTCCCTCGTCTTTTAGCTGTATACTTATCTGTCACGACTGATTTTAACACAGTTGAGAAAATGTATTTATTACCGTATGATTCTTGGACAAAGCCTGATACAGATCCCTAGTTCCTCCACTTGCCTTTTGACCTTTGCATTTTCCTTTCAAAACATTCAGACTTTTTTACAGACCTCTGCAAAATTTCTGACTGCTCCGAGGAGAAACCAGCCTCCCCATTTTGGGCCTGTGGCCCTGAACACTGACCTCTCTTACCCTCTCTGTCTGGGTCCTTCTGAATGTACTTTTTCTTGACTAACTGCCAAATTCTTCGCTTGAACGTGCAGTTACAGCTCAGAAAGCGAAGCTCTTCCAGTCTGCAGAAGTTTTGCCTGAACTTCTTTGTGTTCTCGTTTTGTTTTGCGACAGCGTACATTTCTGAATCTGAGGTGGTGCAGAGCTGAAGCATTAGCGCGTGTGATTACAGCAGTGAGTTACACGGCAGGGTTAACGCTGCTTCCGGGGTCAGTGCAACCCGGGCACTTCATCGTATTGATGCCTGTCCGTACACTCTGTTACTTCCTGTGGATGCTGACAGCAACAGAGCAGGGCCTCGTCATAAAGAAGTAATAGAGGTTCCCTCTCCGGTCTTACCTAGCACGGGAATTTCCATCTTGTACAAATCAGCTGCAAGACTGGCAGTGAGAGGTGAGGTATATAAAGCTGGTAATGTGTGTTTCTGTCAGATGATATCTCTGAAGAGTTTAAAGGGACTGTCTACCTGTGTAAGTAAATTCCTGTGTTTTAAACTTTGTTTATGAAAACTGCATGTACTTCAATATTTTCATTGTAAGTGCTAATTTCTGTTTCTTCAACCTTTCTTAAGTACCGCTAAGTTAAATGAGGCAGAATGTATTATTTTAATTCTGTTTAAGAGGTTTTCACATATTTCTTTTTTTTCCCCTTTTTTTTTGTCTTTGCTGTTGTTGAGAGTTTATTACAAATGTGCTCTTGTCTCTGTTCGTTTGGGCTGCTTTAATGACCTGTTTTCTTTCTCCAGGCACCTCTCTCTGGAAGATGTTAAATATTTCTTGCCTTTTTACGTTTCCCAAAACGATGTAGTTCTCTGAGTTTCTGTAAGAAGATCGGGTGACTGGTAGGATTCAAAGGTGGAGGAAATTGCCAGCAATCTTATCTTGACCGACACTGAGCTTTTAGAAATAGATTTCTGGGTTTTTTGAAAGTTGCTTTTTGGGTCTTTTTTTTGTACTCTGAGCTGTCTCTTCTCTGCAGCCTGATTTTATTTCATTCATTTTTTGTTTTCTTTATTCACTTTGCCTTTCTCCTTTTGACTCTTGTTAACCTCCTCACGTCTCCTCTCTTCTCGTTATCTATCATTTTCTTTGACTTTCTTTTTCTTGATGTCTGTGCAAGGGAATCTTTTTACCCTCCAAGTGTTGTACTGACAGAGTTTCAGAGAGTGAGCGAAAGAGCTCATGGGTGGTGTTGGCTTAAGTTTGTGCAAGTATTTGCCTTGCATTGTGTACTGAAGTGAGCAACTCCTTAATAAATGCGCTTAATCTTTCCTGATGCGGTTACGTGCCATGAGACTTTCTGTGGAACCCTGGGACTGTATAGCATGTTACTTAAAACCAGAGTAGCCATGAATGCATTTCTCAGAGGCTAAAACATTGCTGTGCGTGGCAAGCCTGTATTTTGAGAAGGGTTTTTTATTTGGGGGACTTAGAAAGCAGTCAAAAAAATTTATTACGACTGTAAGCAAACTTATGTCTGACACCACTGACACTGTGATGCAAAACTGGAAGGGCATGAGGGTGAATCAGCCCTATTGTTTCTTCGTGTACATTCCCAATAATTGCCCCTGTTGAATTTTTGCAATACACACACAATTTAATAACAATGTAGGCAATTACCTCTCCCTCCACAAACACTCTCCTCCTACCTTTTCTTTGGTGGTATTTCTCTGGGGAAGTGTGAGGACAGCAGCAAACTCTCTTTACCTTCCACTGCTGCCATATCTGAAGTGGAGCAATAATGTGTTTTTGCGCTGCACCCCTCTGTCTTTGCTGGGGCTGCTATACCTGGATTGGGACCATGTCATACATTTACAGGCCTCCCACAGAGGGTGTCAGGGTAGGGAAGGAAATATCCAAATTTCCCAAGTCATGGTCTTTGACATAAGTCTGTTTCAACACTGTTTTCTTAGCAAACTGTTTTCTCAGCAAGCTGTTTTCTCTAAAATCTGTTATCATCAGTTGTGTGTAAATAGTACTTTGAACAAAATCAAGAGTAATAAATTCCTTGGCTGATGCTTTTATCTGCTGTCACATTTTGATACTTTTAGTTCACCTGTTTAGATAGTCACTAATTAATCTTTGTAAATGTTCAACTCTCAGAAAGGGAAATATTATTTTCAGTCAGGATTATTTTTCTTCCAGTCTGGGGGAAAGAACAATGAAGAAAATATGGAATGTTTTCTGTAAACAAGCTACGCTGAATAAGTGATCCACTAAAACCAGAAAGGTCTTTGACCTCTCATTTGAGTGCAGAAACTCTGGGAATCCATTGTCAACCATAACATGCCAAGGAGGACACCAAATCCACCTTAGTGGTAGGCCTCAAGTACACAGAGAAGTAGTATTTGTGCAGGATAATGAAGTGCTGTGAAGCCAGAGCATGCACGTAGTTACAGGAGCATGAGGGTTTGGGGCAGGAAAATAGTGCCAGGCATTGTCTGATGCGGTTAGTTCTGGTAGCAGAGCACTGATTTCAAAAACTTAAAAGATTCTCAAGTCCTTTGTTCCTGCAAAGGTATTAATTTTCCTGCAGAGGAATTAATATTCATGCACAATTTGTTACTGTGCAAAAAAATGGTGG